AAATATGTACAGAGGACACAATACTAAGTGAACAGGAGAATATCTATAGCGCATTACGGGTAAATGGTTATCCGGAATGTTTCGTTCGTTTTCATAGTCGGACAGGAAACCGGAATCAAGCCACTACCTATCGTGTGCCAAAAAAGAATATCCACATCTCGTTGCCATACATAGGGGAGTCAATAATGCAGCTTATCACACAGCGTATCAAAAACGCGTTACAAAGAACTACTACGCTGCCGCATTAAGACTCCATCCGATCACACGGCGCCTCCTCCTCCTCCCATTCAAAGATCGTCGTCCAGTCGAGTCTACCTCTCATTGCATTTACGCCTTCTGTTGCAGCTGCAACGGAGCATACATGGGTAGAACCGACCGATCACTGCGAACTGGAATGGCTGAACACATCCCCAAGTATGTGCGTGACTCTATGACTCAGCCCACATCACACATTGACCGCATCACGCAGACCGACTTCGGTCATCGCACGTCACTTGGTTGAAAGCGGCCATAGGGTAGACCTTACGAACGCGTTCTCGGTTTTGTTACGTCATCGAGGCAAACGCCGACTAAGGATATTCGAGGCATTATCGATAGCTCACAATAAACCCACACTGTGCATCCAAAAATGTATGACCTTTACCCTTGGTCTGATACCAATCACGTGCATCACACACACTGTACACAATCAAACGCATGGTTAATACTAACTAGATTTCTTAATTCGCTTCATTTGTCTATCTTGTTCAATGTCATACGTATGCGACCGATGAGAGAATACGAAAGGAATTCCCCTCGCAGCGTTTGTCTTCTGACTTACCTGTTCAAATTCATTACGGGATCCAAATATTTCAGTTTTCTATAAAACTTCCGGTTGGGAGCCGAAACCCTTATCTTGGTGAGCAACCACGTGTGTTGTTCACGAGCTTGGTAATTGTATTGCAATACAATTGCCAAGCTCGGCAAATAACTGAACATCAAGTTATACTACCCGGAGCTACAAAAACAACAATCAACACCGTTGTTTACAAAACTGTCCTGAGTGTTTATAGTTGACACATCCCTGTGATCAATAGAATGCCTCCGAAATTCTCAGTGTATGATCGGGTGTGGGTGTCTGGGGTTGCAGCTGATCACCCTTCTTTTGCACCTGGCGAAATGCTCCCATATGACCAAGCGTCTCGAATAGCCTTTGCTGAGGAAGTCCTACTCACTGCCTTTTCGTGGGGCGGAGGTGTTTTCCCACCAAAATGAGAGGACGAACGCCGACATCCGGGTTGATGGACTACTGGTGGTTCACCTAAGAGAGTTGACCAAAAACCCTGATTTCAAACCGACCAAGAGGAGGCGTACGTACACCTTTCCGGTTGTGGCAACGGTCACGGGCTCGACTGGGAATCGAGGTGTATTGACACCTTAGACGTTTGACCCCGTCCGAAGGGCCTATGACTCGATGAACTGGACACCGGCTCCCAATGCATTCGCACACCACCCCGCTGCCTTGCGGGTCAGGCTTTGGCTAGCCGAAGGCTCCGGTTGTGGATTCCCCAAGAAATTTCACCTGTCTTAGCCTGGGCAACGTGGCAGTATTCAGCCAACATGCAAGTCGTGGAACGCTTTTTCTTTTTCATAAAGATTATTGTGTCATGATATCTTTGGCTCACAAGTTGAACTCAGATGTATGCGAAATATATATATATATATATTATATATATATATATAATATATAAATATGTATATATACCAATGGAGCACCGACAAGGGAATTCGGGGTAAGCACCATCAACTGGGTTTTTCAAAAACGATATGGTGCGTTCGACCAATGCATCGGAATTCCAAAGGGTGAAACTCACACAAACATCGGACCGAACTCGCCGTTAGTCTACAAGTACGAAAAATCGGATGCTATAGCTTCTGGAATGTTCCATGTCACTGTAGAGTAGTTCGATCTCCGGGTCTGATCACACGCAATTATTTTACGTGAGCAACAAACAGAAGATAGCTACATATAGCTACATAGTTATACATGCAAAGCACTCAACTCGTGATATTTTCCATACGGGGTTTATCAAATAAACAACCAATACAAAAGGTTGAACAAAGACCCCGGAGGGTGGAGGAGGTGGTGAATGTCGGTGAATCTGCATTGACAATGGAAATTATGACGTCCAAAAAGTCATAAAAGTTGGAATCGTTCAGAGTAATAATTCACACTACACAAAGCAAGTGGAGTTTGTTTGGCATTGACGGTGTGTGTATTTCATTGAAAACCCATGCCAACGATTTACAAATGCATTGTTCCATCAATAGCACAGTGAACTATATCAAAGCGTCATACTGACCCTTTTTGAGTAGATGGATTAATTGACTGACTGCACGCGACCCCGTGCTAACCGATCGATCATGTGTTCTAGCACAATGCGCCAAACTGTGGCTGAATCGAAATCCAATCAAGCTGCCCTATTTAAGTGTATGAGACAGAGGAGCGAAACAGATAATCGTCCAAAACAACTTCGGTGTCTAGAAATGTCTGGCCGAAACAGCAGATTGTTCCATGCTTGGGATACCATCCACCCTCTTTGGGTATTCATCACTTTAAACATTGTGGCTCTGAGATGGTGAAGCACGCCNCGCCTAAGGAACCACAAGTGAACTAAACCAGATAGTCGATGAGCGAAACGCCAACAATATGGTAAACGGAACGGGAAGACAGATTCTCGTGAACGAACAGACGAGATCGACTACCCAATCCAGGAATGCATAGATCTCTGGGGCTGAATCCACACCAGACGAATCGTGAATGAGCCATGAACGTACCACAGACCTGATTGTGCAAAGGCTACACGTATACCCATGAAATTTCCTGATCACTATACAGCTCATTTATCTTCGCGAAGGAAAGGGAAGCACCGAAGGTATCCAATATCCCCAGTCACCCAATTGAACCAGGATCAAGGTGTGGATCAGATGTTTTCATTAGATTTGAAATCAGGGTTTTCCCGTTCCCCCTTAGGTGAGCTGGCTGCCCGTGGTAGATCAACCCCCGTTACACTTTGGTCAAACCACACTCGGTATCACTTCCTCAAGAGATGTTTGAGGAGATGAGCTCCTGGGACGAGAGCGAGGCCTAGCCCCGTCCTTCGAGAGAATACGGTTTGTTTGGACAGTGTACATAAACATTCGGTACCTATTCATGATCTGAACAAAGAGTTTGGCCCACCAAAGTATTGATGAATAATTTTTCCGAAACTCATGTGGAATCAATTTTCGTTCAAACATCCAACTACCAGGTGTTAAGTAACTTAGTGTGACCATGACCTATGTGCTCCCTCATTGGCCCTCATACAGTATGATCGATTCACAAAGACGAGGTTAGTCTACAACCTCCCCCCCCCCCCCCCCCCC